CAACTATGGAAAACTATTGACCATGTATTTCTTTGAAACTATTGATTGATTATTACTTGAATTCTAAGAAAAAAACTGTATTGTGTTTTTGTTAACTATAAAAAAGCGTTTGATTACTATAATAGAACACAATCTATGGCACAAACTATTGTCGCATAATATGTGACGGTAAATGTTTTAAAGATTATCTATAATATGTATGTAAAGCAAAGTCATGTGTTAAAGTTAATAATGAAATGTCAGATTTTTTAGTAGTAACACTGGTGTACGCCAAGGAGAAAATTTGTCTCCAATATTGTTTTCTTTATACTTAAATGACTTACCCAGTTTCTGTCTTCCAGTATGCAAAGGGTTGTCTCTTATATCTAGTGCCAATCTGTTAATTGTCTTAGTGATGTACTGTTGATGTTTACCTAAAATTATACTGCTTTTGTATGCTGATGATACCATTTTATTAGCATGAAAACAAATTAGATCTACAGAATGGTCTTAATGCATGTATGATTATTGTAATTATGGGATCTGAATGTGAATGAGGATAAGACGAAAATAGTGGTTTTTAGTTCACGTAAGCCTAGAACTCGAATCTCAAACTTTTACGTACAATGGTAAAAACGTTAGAAACTGTTTTGAAAGTTTCGCATACTTAGGTGTATTATTAATTTCAATGGCAAATTTGGTAAAGCCAAGAAAAAACTTGTTGACCAAGCTAGAAAGAGCTATGTTTTCTGTTATTAAAAAAGCTAGAAAACTGTTTTTACCCATATCTGTTCAATTGCATTTGTTTAACACTATGGTTGTACCTATTTTATTATATGGTTGTGAGGTTTGGGTATAGAGAATGTTCAAATTATTGAGGGCAACTACAGTTAAGCTTCTGTAAAGAACTCATACTTAATTTAAAAAGGTCTACGCCAATTGTATGATATATGGGGAAACATGACTTTGTCCCCTAGTACTGCATTGTAAAAACAAGAATATTGTGTTTATTGAGTAAGTTTGAATAACCTCAAAAAATGATAAAATATGTAAAATATTGTATAATACAGTTCTTTTCTTGGTACTCGATGTTAATGATGTCATGACTTCTCCTTGATCTCATTTTGTTAAAAATACTCTTGATGAGCTTGGCTTATCAAACTATTTTTGTGATCAATATGTTGGTAACTTGAATAGTTTTAAAACTATTGTGAAACAGAGATTGAAAGACCAGTTCTTACAGAACTGGAAAGGAACGTAAATGAATCTTCTAAATGTTTAATTTATCGTGTGTATAAGAAAGATTTTTGTTTTGAGAAATACTTAGATATATTACCTTTCAATCTTTGTAGAATACTTTGTAAATTCAGACTATGAACCACTTTTACCCTATAGAGAAAGGTAGACATTACATATTGAAGAAATCAAAGAATATGTCATTTATGTCCAAAACAAATCTCTTGGGGATGAATTCCATTACTTATTTGAATGTCACTTTTTTAACTCTCTTTCGTAAAAGTTTATTGATTCGAAATTCTCAAATCATCCTAATATTTATAAATTAGAATCTTTAATGAATAGCTTTGACTTTTCAATTTTATTAAAACTTGCATTATTCTGCAAAATAATTTATTTCAAAATTTAGATAACTCATTCTCCGTAAGTCATGAATTTTTCAACTTTATGAATGTATTTACATAGAAACAATTTAATTAACTTCTGTATAAGACAAATCATGTCAAAAAGTAGAGTCTAGTCATATGTTATATGTTAGTCCAAATTGATTTCCTTATTATATATGATTTTATGTTTTACATGTTTTGTTAACTACTTTTGAATAACTGTTCATTATATTGTTGATATATCATAACCTTATGCATATTATATGCCTTGGTTTTGAATAAATCTTGAAAAAATCTTGAATCTTGTTTAATTCGGCCTAGGGCAGATGGTGTATAAGTACAAATGGTCAAATCTTGTAAATTGTATATGTCGCCTTCCTAAACGACTTAAACTTCACGTTAATGTGTAATATGAAAAGGTAATGACATGAATACCCGCAGTAGACCTATAATATTTTAGTCTGTATTGTTCATTTACCGTAAGACATTACAAGTTTGCTTCTTTAAAAAGAAGCATGCGAGAGGTCTTTTTGCTGCTGTGGAAAATTTGTTTAATTCGAAAATATTTGGGGATATTTTTGCATAACAGACACAATGAATGTTTATAAATTACAATTATTGAACAAAATAGAATTTATTATATATATTGCAATGAAAGTTTGTTTTACATTTCATCTTTTTTAATGTTTTAAAAGATTATATGCCGGAGAAATGGATTTTTTTCTTGGCGCATTAGGGATACTTTTTCTACAAAAAAAATGTAAAATTACTTAATGTAAATTGAATGATATATATCATTTACATTTGTATTTTAAATTTAGTTCCCTTTGTAGAAAAATTATATATATATTAAAAGTATTTTCAAAATAAAAGTTTCTTGTAAAGTTCAATAAGCAAATTTTCGGTCACTGTTTTGTTAAATATAAGGAAGCATTTCCTCTACATTTTCCAAAACGAGTATAAAGTATGTTAATCAAACAAGTTTACATAAAAAATGTTGATATAATTTGATTGGAATAAACAGAAAATACTGTTATATACTGTTATACTGTTATATACTGTTTATTGGAATAAACAGTATATAAAGCTGCATGCCTCCAACCACAATATTAGAAGAAAAATCAATTTTTGAGATAAAATTTGTGCCATTTGCGCAAAAAAATCTCCCTTTGCGTTATTTAGATATACCGGTTCAATACACGGTTCACTCGGTCATATAATATGTTTGTTTGTTTCATTGTACGCCTTTTTCCCAACAGTATTTTAGTCATATAGGCGGGTAGTTTCCTAACCATCGTTCCTGGAGAGTTACACCAGTACTAGACAACCTTCCTCCGCGCTAACAAAAAAAAATCATCACCCGGGGATCGAACCCACGCCAGAGAAATTACAGGATTTTAAGTCAACGACTCTAACCCCTCGACCACGGAGGCGGTATATTTAGTGCATGGTGATATTGTAGCTATAATGTTCACTGTAACTATTTATCAGACCATGAAATAGTAAAACGTTATTCAGAAAACAATACGGTAATCGATTTATACAGTTACGGAATGAAGCATCAATGCACGTAGTGTTAAGTAACGTAAATGATATTTTCCGATTTTTCTATGTACCGATTTGTTCAGTTCGATGTTAATTTTTCGTTTAAGTTAAGCCGTGTTTTGAAACGGGGCATGCGCAAAACAATTTTTTGTAGACTGCTTCTTATGATTTTACGCTTAAAATGAGATTCATTCACTGCAATCAGATACGCAAAAATGGATGCCGCAAGCAATCAGTCTGAACACTATGGAGAGGTCTGATGACCTCTCCAACAAGTCCGTATTCAACAATAAAATCGCTGTTTAAGATGCATTTTTTCCAAAGTGAAAGATAATAAAGCTTAAAATGACAGTTGCATTTATTTAACTTTACTAGTATTTTCAATTAAGATAGAAACCATGCAGGTGTATAAATCTAGGCATGTTTAGAGTTATTCACTGAAATCAAGACGACATTTAATAAAGTAGCTACACCAATATAACAAAAATAATACAGTATAGTGAATTTATATATGCACATACTGATGTTAACAAACGTGTCAAATGCGTGTTCGGTAAATAGCGTAACTAATAGGAACTGGTTGTATGAAACATTAAAGACGCATGACATCTCTTATTGATATGAATTTATAAGTGTGCGATATATTGTAAAGCAATCGATTGCATTATGATAATAGAAAAGAAATCCAGGCGTAACCAACTGATCTATTAGGAACCAGTCTATAGGCGCGTTTATGGTTTATTGTCACTGTGGCGGCTGTAAAAGTCTCCCCGTACATTTAATGAATGATGTTATATTTTCGATCCTTGAAGATCGTTCAGCACGACAGTATTGTTGTGTATACATTTTAGATGGTATTTTTAGTTTCTTGTATTTGGCCTTTTTCAATTTAGGTGGTTCTAGTATTCCTACTTGAAAACTGTATGATCACCCTTTGGATATGTTGCCTGCTTTTAAAATTTGTCTTTTGGCGTCTTGTCTGTGATATGCAGGCTTCATAACCTCAGATCCCCTTTCAAAATTCCATTTTATTTAGTTCCGCCCATTGTTTTCTCGTTTAGGGCACACGCATTCTTTTACTTGAGGACCATACGCCGCTTTTCATGGAATGACTTGAACTGTGTTACATTGAAGGTTCAATGATAACCGCCGTATGAACACATCTGCGGATGTTTCTAAATTCAAAATTTCACCATTATCGTGTTTAAATGTTGAATTCTGCTTAAGCCGGTGCTAGGGGTCGTGGACGGTAACTTGCACTTTCCAGTACCGTCCATGAACAGGCTCAATCAAACCGAGCCTGCAACATTTTACAATTTTGTCGTGTTGGGCTTTCTTTAGGGATTCTGTTTTTTAAGTCAATATTTACAAAATAAAACGTTTCAATGGTTTAAAATTACAGCAGGATAAATATTGCAAATACAATACTTAAATGTTTTTTCGTCGGACAATACTAGTTCCATAAAAATGTACGATTCTGTAGTGAAATTTTAGTTTTGATGCTTTGAACTGAATATAAAGGCTATTGTTTACGTTTAAACTATATAATTATCAGGAAAAGCCCGACTATCACCAGGTGCCAATTTCAACCACAGTGCTTGAATTTTATCTTTTAAAAGGTTTCTTTCAAAATATTTAAGCATAAGCCAATTAGATTTTAAGACAAATTTTGTTTTATGATTTCACTACTTACATATACCCTAACACTACGTACAATCTGCACTATAATATCGAAATTATAAAGTTATTATTCAAAACAAATCTCTGGCTTATTTTTTTAAGAAAGTGATATAAATAAAATTCTTCATTTGAATGCTTTTACAGAAAAACCTATTACAAATTATTTTTACTAACCAAATTTAAGTTCCTCATTATTTCCTTTATAATCTTTTCATTCATCAAACATAAGTAACACTTTAGCTTATTAGCAAGGTTATAAACGGAAGTAAATAAAACATAACTTCCTAGTGCGTAGTTTTTAGCGTATTATATTTAAAAGACATATCTTCTCCTTTAATCAAGATTTCAAGATTCAACATTTCAAGATTTTATTTCAAAAGAAATAAACATTATACAATGTCCGTCGCCATAAACAGAATGACGGTTACAAATAGTATATGAGAAAAGTATGTAACTGTATACAAATAATTTTTTACAATAACATTTTTATATTGTAAAGAACACATATACATGTACATTGTATTTCAATATATGTTTGTAAATAATAGTATGCTGTATATACCAATATCATTGTTTGAAACTATCACGTAATGCATTTGCAAAGTAGATATATTTTGATAATCTATTAACAGTTCCATGCCAATTTTTCATTAAAGATATAAATTTATTTAAGGTATGCTTAAAGCAATAATATCTTGGTAAAGTTCTTTCCATAATTCCATATAAAATGGACAGACTAGTAAAAAGCGATATTCTGTTTATTACATTTTAAACAAATTCTCTGATCTCTGTCAATATTCCTAAATCTACCTTCTTCTATCATAAGTCTATGTGCTGAGCATCTGAATCGTGACAAAGCTATTCTAAACTTTGGGGTTTTTTTTTACTAAAGAGAGGTATTTTTCAAAATCAAAACCATCTTTTATAATCTTATACGTCTCTTATTTTGATGAATTACTAATTTCCGACAACCATTGTTGGTTATATTGATCATATAAACGTTGAATGGTGGTTTTTTAATCAATAACATTGGGATTATCAAAAATATTAGCAAATCCTAAGTTCTGAAACAATTTTCTAGGATCAATCGACCATTCAAAGAGGGTCTATTGCTTTGCATTTGTCTGTCTGTCGGTCCGTCGGTCCGTAAACCAAATGGTTTCCGATCAATAACTAAAGAACCCTTTGGCCAAGGAACTTCAAACTTGGTATGATGATTGGTCATGACCAGCAGATGAACCCTATTGATTTTGGGGTCAAGGGTCAAAGGTCAAGGTCACATTGTTGTTGTTGTTTTCTATTTCAGAAGGCCACATTGGAAATAAGATAATATGATTGATATTGTATGTTATTAATGTATAACCTTCTTTAAATAAAGATATTATTTCTATTATTATTATTATTATTATTATTATAATATAAAAAGGTAGCAAGATCTATTAATATGTTTCTGAAATGTTAAATTTCTTTATGTAAAAGACACACTGTACTATAAGCATAGAAGTGATCTAGAACCCCCAGGTCTAGAGTGCATATGGATCGAACTTATGACTTCACCCTCAAAGCGAATTCTTTTAGCAATTTTCTATCGCCCTCCAAACGCTAGTGTTGATCACACCAATTTAATCGAGGACTCTCTCAGTTTGGCTCTCGATTCGGGTATAGCCGACATTATTGTGACAGGTGACTTCAACTTTAATGATTCAAATCCTCATATGACAAGAACGCTTCAATCTCTCTGCTATCAGTTCAATCTAGAACAACTAATAAACAATCCCACTCATTTTACAGAACACTCTTCTTCGATTCTTGATCTTTTTTTAGTTACCTGTAGCCATAATGTTGTCATTTCCGGTGTAGGAGAACCAGTGTTTGATCAGAACCAGAACTATCATTGTCCAATTTACGCATTGTTTAATTTTTCTAAACCATCTGCAAAGGCGTTTAAGCGAGAAATATGGCTATATGACAAAGGAAATTTTAATTTACTTAGAGATAAAATCAAACTTATTAACTGGGACCAATTTCAAGATAATAATATCAATAACTACACATGTTCGTTTTCCAATAAACTACTTGAGCTCGCAAAAGAATGCATCCCAACAAAAACCATAATAGTAAGGCCTAACGATCCACCTTGGTTAACAACACATATAAGGAAATCAATTCTAAAACGTAAGAAATTATATCGAAAAGCAAAACACACTAATATCCAAACTCATTGGGAAAAATTTAAAAAGGTCCGTAATGAAGTAGTTGCCTTAATTCGGAATGCCAAAGAAAACCATATCCAAAAGCTTGCAGAAGCATTAAAAAATGAATCTTTTGCCTCCAAGGACTGGTGGAATCTTATCAAAGGTTTTATCTCCCCTTCATACAAACAAGTAATCCCTCCTCTAGTCGACACTGTTTCGGACTCTTTGGTATTTGACAACAAAGCCAAATCTAACCTATTAAACATTTTTTTCTGTAGTCAATCCACACTTATAAACTCTGAAAAAGAATTGCCAATAATTAACTCTGACGAACCACAAAACAAACTCGAAATTATAAACATAACTCCACAAGATGTAGAAGATGCCTTGAAATCTTTGAAAATCAACAAAGCAACAGGTCCTGGTGAAATTAGTAACCGTATTTTACGGGAAACAGCATCGGAATTAAAAACTCCACTATCTTCTCTTTTTAATTTTTCTCTTCAATGTAGCAAGGTTCCCTTGTCTTGGAAGGAAGCTCATGTTTGTGCTGTATTCAAGAAAGGCGACCCTTCTATGCCAAATAACTACCGTCCAATATCTCTACTATGCTGTCCTGAAAAGGTTTTTGAACGTGTTGTATTTAAACATTTATATAATTTCTTTCGGGATAACAATTTTCTTTCCACTTTACAGTCCGGTTTCACACCAGGCGACTCATCTGTCAATCAGCTTACGTCCCTTTATAATACATTTTGTAAAGCTCTAGATGACGGGTTAGAAATCAGGACAGTTTTCTTTGATATCAGCAAAGCTTTTGATAAAGTTTGGCACAAAGGACTCATTTTTAAATTAAAAACTGCTGGTCTGGATGGACGCCTTCTTGCATGGATTTCTGACTACCTCTCAGATCGTCGTCAAGCTGTAACTCTCCCTGGTACAAGGTCAAATTGGTCAACTGTTAATGCTGGAGTTCCTCAAGGCTCCATCTTGGGTCCCTTGTTGTTTCTGGTATATATAAACGACATAGTCGATAATCTAGGTTCAGATGTTCATTTATTTGCTGACGATACAAGTCTCCATATCATTGTAGACTATCCACAATCAGCTGCCAATATTTTGCAATCAGATATTAATAAAATTTCAGTTTGGGCTTCTCGTTGGCTAGTAACCTTTAATCCATCAAAATCTGAAACTATGGTCATTTCTCGAAAGTCTCAAAAACCGTTACATCCTCAATTATTTATGAATGACACTCCGATATCGTCTGTAGCCTATCACAAACACCTTGGTGTTACCTTTTCAAACGACGGTTCAGGGCATATACATATCAATTCTATTAAAGAACGAGCTTGGAAGAGAATCCACATAATGAGATCATTTAAATTTCAGTTAGATAGAAAATCCCTTGAAACCCTATACCTTACATTCATCAGACCTTTACTAGAGTATGCAGACGTATTATATGATAATTGTACCCAATATGAAAAAACAGAACTAGACAAAATCCAAAATGAAGCAGCTCGAATCGTTTCTGGGGCTACAAAACTTGTTTCTCTCCATGAACTTCAAAAGGAAGTACCCTGGGAAACTCTCCATACTCGAAGAAAAAATCACAAGCTAATACTTTTTTACAAGATGACTCACGATCTCACACCAAATTATCTTTCGTCTCTAGTCCCGCCATCCGTAGGAAATACTTCAAGATATAACTTACGTAATGCCGAGGACATCCAAACCGTACGCACAAGAACAACGCTTTATGAAAATTCCTTTTTGCCGTCCGTAATACGGGACTGGAATGAACTTTCCTCTGAAATTCGAAATTCTTCATCACTATCATCTTTTAAATACAAATTGAAACATAATCTAAAATGTCCAAATTATTTTTACATTGGGAATAGAAAACTGCAAGTTCTACACACACGGCTTCGTACCGGATGTAGTTCACTTAATCACCATCTTTTCAGAAAAAACATTTCTCAGTCAGAACTATGTAGCTGTGGTCTTAGTGAAACTACACACCATTACTTTTTTATTTGCCCACTTTATAATGGAATAAGAGAAAGTTTCATGAACACCTTATCAAACTACTGTACTATAACGTTGCACACACTACTACATGGCGACTGTAACATGAGTGATAATACAAACTGTAATATTTTTCTTACTGTTCAAGATTATATCAGCAAAAGCAAGCGATTTACTTAAGATCCCCTTCTTTTATCAATGCCATACTGTTAGTGCCGTCTTGAAATATCTTCTTTCTCTGCTATCTTATTTCTTCTTTTCCTCTCTTTTTCAGATAGTTGATTATTTTACAAAACCTTCTTCTAACCAACTACGAACTCATATGTTTTGTATATAATATAAAATTCATGCTTATTACATAATTACTCATTGTACTTTCAAGCATATCCATGTACATACATATACACACTGCCAATATTTAGCAAATAAAAACTAGGATAAGACCTATATAAGCATCAGCTTTCGGTTCTGATCCTTTTTCATTCATTTCATGTGTTGTAAAGTTCTGTTTGTAAATTGTAAATGTGTATACTTGTTTGAAATAAACTATGTTTAAACTAAACTGAAATGTTAAATTCAAAGAAAGTAAAGGCAAATTTAACGCTTAATACGAATTCTCTGTATTATAACTAAATCCATCAAAGGTTATCATAAATAATGGCATATAGTAGACATGTCCCATGCAGTAAATGGATGTGTAACCCAAGATGTCTGCCATATAAAATGATTTATTTAAAAAATAAGAATTTAAATAATTTTTAAGAATGGTTATTATTTCTATTGCACTATACATTAAAACAGATTTCAAGGATAAATAACAACATGTTTTTCCATGCACTTTCATATCTCGGGTTACACAGCCATTCACTGCATAGGACTTGTCCATTATATGCCTTTATTTATAATAACACTTGATGGAGGCCTTCATTTACAAGACTGAATATTCATATTAAGCGTTAAATTTGCCTTTGCCTTTTGACTTAAACATTTCATAAACCTATTACAGGAACTCCACTGAGGTTTATA